TTCCTGGAGAAGTTGGCATAACACTATATGCTGGAGGTCCATTTAGCCAGTCTCTCAAATGCCCTGTAACTGTGGCAGTTAACACGGTGCAGCAGCCCTGTGTATTCTACAGCTATAGAAATGACAAATGCGGCCAAGAAGAGCTCTGCAAGTATTTATTCCTAGTGGGAAGGCAGGGTATAGTAAAATAAATAGTTCGGTTACAAAAGAAGCCATTTAAAATTGGAACAGTTATGTTGAAACTTACCAAACTTCTGAGTAGTAAATGTGACAGTGGGACCACGTTTTCTTCCCTTCTCTGTGACTGCTTCCATCTGTACTACATACGAAGTGTCACTTGTTAAGGATGATAGTACATATTCTCTTGTGGAGGGATCCACGTTAATAACTAGAGAGAAGAACATTATCTTTTAATTTGTGTCACTTAAACATTGCAAACATCTTCCTTGCATTAGATCTATACAAGCTGATCACAACTTTCACAATTAAAATCCAAAGAACATCTGAATATTTAGAAAGATCAGGATATATCTCAACCCATCTTTTCAACTTTATGACTTCAAATGAAACTGTATTAGCAATACAAACTAAACAATTTTTGTCTTATGAAGTTTAAGACTTGAATTCTCAGAAGTGGTAGGAATAGAAATCTATCTAGAAATATATGACCCTATTCAAACAAATCCAAATGAAGTAAACAACAATCAGCATCCTTAACATTCAGCAGAAGCATTTTAGTCAACAAAACAGGATTTCAGCTGTTACAGGCATCCATATTACAAACATTCCTACTTCCACCTGCATTTATAAACGACATTCAGATATTCCAACAGAATATTGCTGTATTTTTAAATTTTATGCTGGTGCAAATGATTTTTCCCTTCTGTCACCACAGACACATAACCCTCAGTTGATCAGATGAGGGTTCATTCGTGATAGATCTTCCTGGTTCTTCCAGATTACAGGCCTTTTAATTATTTGTTACTAAATCAAAGTATTGAGTTCTCAGGGATACCAAAGTCAGCAGAATGTATGTATGAACACAAATTAATACACTAATCTGTACAAGATGTCAAATCATATTAACACTGCAGTAAAAAATGCTAAGACAAATACCTCGTCTGGGTATCCAATGGACTATGACTGGTTAATAAAGCTGACTGTAAAATGCCTTCGGGTACCGCTCAATCATAAAGAGACACAAGCATACACGTACCAGTTTCGTTTCCATTATTCATTTTATAATATATAGCGTAATATCTGATGAATCCATTCTGTTCTGCCACAGAAAGTGGCTCCCATTCTAAAATGGCTTCATTTTTTCTAACTTTCTTTGGTCGAGCACTGGGACCTTTTGTAGGCTCTATTAAAGAAAAACACTTCACATATTAAAAGCAATTTCTTAGTAAGAACTGCAAGTATATTGCTACATCAAGAAGAAAGATTAAAAATGAAGAACAAAAGGCACCTCCCCAGTATTAAAATTAAAATATATGGCATCATGTTTTCAGAGAAGAATATGGTCTAGGAATAAAAATACAAAACATGAAGAACTTGCAAACATACTGAAACTGCCTGAGGTACATATCATAATAGGTCTGTGGTTATATCAAGTGTGTGGGTGGAGGGGAAGAAGGCATTTGATAGTGCTTTCAACTTACCACCTTGCAGAAGGTAAGCTTGCGTTGATTTTCCAACTCCCGGACCATTGGTATTTAATGGATACACAGTTATCAAGTAACATTTGAATTGCTTTATATTTCCTAAGGGTGGGAAAAAGTTAAGTTTCAGATATATGTATTTTCAACCAAATGCATAGAGGATCTTCCATATGTAACTACAGGACCAAAGGGTGTGAAAGCTCAAGATTTGCTCACTTGCCAGACAACCCAAAACGGTGGCTACCTGTAAGAACAACAGGCAGGATAACACAAGGGGTACCCCCCAGGAACTTTCCCCCTCTGTTTGAAGACTGGGACCATACTGGCCCATCACTAAGGTTTCTCAAAGAAGTATACAACATTGTATTATCCACAGCTAAATGCAATTCTAGTACCTGGTTTTGTCACACAGAAAACATTGCCAGACACTGTCACTATTACACAGAATCCTGCCACACAGTGGTGAATCAACATATCAGAATGCTGTCACATTAACTACCACTAGGAGTATGTTCTCCTCCTCAGAAGACAGAAGGGGTAAGATATCAGGGGGAGGAGGGAGCTCAGGAAAAAGGCAGCGCTACCCCCCAAAAGTGGCCTGCTACACAGCCCACATTAGAGCGGTTTGCTCCTGCCCAGCCTCTTGACAGCTGGTGCAGGGGAAGAGGACAGGAAAGCAGCACTTCTCTGAGAATCTATAAAGCTACAGCACCAGGGAATTTCCTAAACAAGAATGTTTCCTTAAATCTCAGATTTCATTTGCAGTCAGTAAGGAACTAGAAAACAGAAGGATGTAAATACTATGTATCTGTAATATTTGAACATCCATGTTTCTAATCCTTTGTTCCAATTGAGACAAATGCCATCTTGGTGTACTTACTTTGGCTGTACAAGTAGGGAACAAAAGTACAGAACGTGATGACTCTGTCAAGTTATCTGTATGCCCTTCTAAATCATTGGCTAAACTGCTGTGGAGTCACACAAGGGATGCATGAGAACTTATTTATGACTTTTCAGTAGTCATGATTTTATTTTGAACAACCAGGGTTATCTGTCACAAGCCCCAGGTAAATATGAGTACCAAAACAATCCTGTTTAAATGTGTCCCTTACATGATTGTCCTCTCAGTTCCTGCTTCCATGCCAGAAGGTTAAATTAATTTTTGTCATTATGCAAAAACCAGCTATAGTAGGGCCATATGTGCCCAGTTTCTCAAAATCACAAACAGCGGAAGTCCAGTTCTGTTGCAGTAGCTGGGGGGATGTATATGTAATGTTACAATTATGTCAACCAACGGTAGAGCATTTTCAGTCTCTTTCAGGATTGTAGTTTTCAACCACCATGAAAATATCAGCCATTTTCTTTTATATTCATACTAAGCTCTGCCCTTAAATGCTGCAATGTATTGAAAGGGTCACCAAATTCTAGAAAAAGCTTTATTATGCTATAAATTTTTGATTGCCAATTGCCTCTCTACGCTGGTATCCACTAGGAGTGTGCAATTTTTTTTTTAAGGTTCGGATATATTGAACCTGAAAATTACTGTTATTCCCTGATATTCCCAAATCCCAATACCAGTATGGTGTTTAGATTTGGTAAATATTCAGGATTGCCCAATTTTTTTGGCTCCATCATATCCTATGGGGACTATTGTAGTCAATGATCCCCATAGGGTATAATGGAGAAACAATCCGAGGATATCTGGGGCTGTTCTTTGAGGTAGAGGCAACAAATTTGCAGCATAGCTGCTGGTACCTCTACCTCAAAAAAAGAAAAAGAAAAAAAGAAGCCAAGTTTCAAAAAGATTGGCATGGGGGGGTCCAATTCTATGGGCCCCAGAAGAAAGTGCCCTCATCTTCCATTGTTTCCAATGGAGGGGGGGGGAAAGGCACTTAAAGGGCTTGCAGGCACAGCTTCACCTGGAAGGTGTTTAAAAGGACTGCAGTCTCTTTAAACCCCCCTTAAACGCCAGCTATCCAGTGGCCCCCAAAAAATCCCGGGATTTTTTGGGCTCAGCCATATCGGATAGCTGGATAAATACCCCGGCTGAAAAAATACCGGTAAGGTTGTGATTGTGATCTGTGATTTTATTGGATTTTATTGTTTTTATGAATGGGTTTACCCCCTTGTAAGCCGCCCTGAGCCCGCTTGCGGGGAGGGCGGGGTAAAAATACTTTAAATAAATAAATAAATAAATAAATAAGGTATTTTTGGGGGCTTTTCTGGTTTGGATAAACCAAATACACACTCCTAGTATCCACCATGACTCTTCAGGGTTACCTCTTAAAAATGAGCCTCGTGCTGTTCCAGGTTCCTGTTGCCATTCAAAACTGCAGCTCGAGCTGTTACACTGTTCACACCACTCAATTATGTATTTATCGTCATTGTCATTGGCAGCTGTCCACTCCACCCAGAGCTTGCCATCTTTAGGAAACGCTTTAACATCTTTCACAGCAGCAGGAAGGCCTACAAAAATTAAATTAGAATTTTCATTTCTGGAGGAGGCATGGAGGCAGTTTTAATATTCTAAAACCTTCCTAGTTTCAACTACAATTATTTATCACCTAGAAGTCAAAAGGCTGCAATAATTAATCATAACAATTGAATTAATTTCACTCTTACTGCAACTTGGCCTGAGCAGAAATTACAGTTGTCTAAACCAAGCCAGCATGAAGGCAGAACTGTCAAGGAAAGCAAAGTTTGCCCTCTAAAATCAGGAAAATTCCATATTTGCATGTATTACATTTACTCTATTTTTCATTTCTCCTAAAAAACCTCAATACTTAAAACATTCAAAACTTGCATATTCCCAAACACTGGTCTGTTAAAACTTATTGCCTCACCTACTTACCTGTGCTCAACGCAGCAAGATATTGCTTTATATTAAACAGGTCAATTGTGAAAAAGATGCTGGGCTTTTTATTTGTACAGAATCCTGTTCCCTAGTGATTGCTGGTGCCATATACTCAAGAAGAAGCATTCTAGCTACCTGAAAAGTCATCTCCTATAGAAGAATCCCACAGAAGGTACAGCAACAAATGCAACTATAATATGGCTCTATTTATTCAGATTTGTATAAAAATAGAACTAAGAATTATTCAAAGTTCAAAACCAACCTGAAATTTAAGAAAAGCAAGACTCCTCCAATGCTAACATCCTCTTCTTTAATAAAAACTGGAGACAAATGAAACATTTCTACGATCACATGAGAAACTCACCTTTTGAGTTAGGTGCTGGGATAACCAAAACAGATGCAGGAGACCTGCTAATGCTGTTATACGCTGTAATCTTTACTTCATATGTCCTATTCTGTAGATGAAGACTCAGCTGGGTGGTATTCAAACTGAAGAACTCAGGTGGCAAAGAAAGTGGTGGCTTTGCTGTAACATTTACTTCATACCTCAAAATTATTCCATTGGCAGCGGAAGGATCCAATTCCTGTTCAAAAGGAGAGATTTGCTTGATTTTAGGCTTGTAGTAGAACACATGAAGCTGCCTCATGCAGAGCCAGGCCATGGCCTCGTTTAACCAAGCACTAGCTATTCGGGCTGGTAGCAGCTTTCCAAGTCTCTCCCAGCCTTGCTACTTCGGATACATTTAAGTGGAGGTTATCAGGGATCAAACCTTCTGCGTACAAAAGTATGTGCCCTGGTAAAGGTAAAGGTAAAGGTTCCCCTTGCTCGAAAGCCAGTCGAATCCGACTCTAGGGTTGCGGTGCTCATCTCCGTTTCAAAGCCTAAGAGCCGGCACTGTCCGAAGACGTTGCCGTGGTCATGTGGCCGGCATGACTAAACACCGAGGCGCACGGAACGCTGTTACCTTCCCACCGAAGTGGTACCTATTTATCTACTTGCAATTTCTTGCTTTCGAACTGCTAGGTTGGCAGGAGCTGGAACAAGAGATGGGAGCTCACTCCATCATGCGGCACCCGGGTCTCGAACTGCTGAACTACTGACCTTCCACAGCCTGCAGTTCAGCGTCTTAACCCCTTGAGCCACCGCAGCTCCATATGTGCCCTGGTACCAAGCTGCATTTGTGTGTTTTTCACTGAGTTTGTATAACTGTAACTGTATTTTTAATTGTTTAAATGCGTTCATGTTTTAATGTTCACCACATTGTGGACCCTGGTTGGGTGGAAAGAGAGCACAACATTGTTTTAAATAAGTAAAATAAATAAAATTCAAATACCACACATCAATGAGAGAACTCAGCAAGCCCCATTCTCTCAGACTACCCCACCCCATAGGGCAGCTGAGAAGCCGAAGTGCCAATCTGAGCTATTTGGAAGAAAGGCAGGATATACAAAGTAAAATTTTAAAACTCTGCCTACAGGGAGAGAGAAATCAAAGGGGGAAAGGTTATTTTGGGGGCTCCTATTCAATGGGAAAGATGTACATTTTGACTGAAATCAGGTCCCTTCCCCACAAAGGGGGAGGGGGAACCTTATAGTATTTGTTAATACTCTCAACTACATTTCTATCATGCCCAAATCCTCAAATTAGTACTACTATGGAGAAATTACTGGGGGAGAATGGGGCAAGCAGGGTACAGTTGCATGGTTTACCAAGGTCATTAAAACATCTGAACAGTTAAAAACACTTAAAATTATAAAATAATTCAATAAAAACACAAACAATAACAATGCCAGAATCAGGGAGGAGGGCCAGTAATGATTATTGGGCCAAAGACCTTCACAGAAGACAGTGTAACAATTAAAAGTCACAAAGTGGGACTAGCTAACTGCCTCAAATTAAAGCAAGCAATTTTAATGTTGCCAACTAGTTAAAAAAACAACAACGACATGCTCTAGGGTGGAATATGTACATGAAAGCAATAGAAAATCTTGGTTTAAGCCTCTCCCTGGATTATGAAGGCCTAACTCTTGATTTAGATTTTGAATCAGCACCAGAAAAGGGGTTCAACCTTCTTCTCAAATTAAAATTCTTCCAATGTCAATCATCACACTCCTTGAAACTGCAATTAGCTCCGAATGGAAAAAACTAAAAAAAAAAAAAGGTACTGACACTGTGCTTGTATTCCTGCTACAGGGCTAGAAGCAGCTCCGAGAACATGCTTTAGTGCGGAAAAGTGACACAGGAGGTAGCATTATTCTCCCCCTCACCACCACTGGTTCTCTTATAAAAATTGCAGCTCCATGTGGCTGCTTTTAATTTTTAAAGGAGAAGAAAAGGCCATGATCTTCCACATCATGTTTGTTTTGGTGCTGATGACATAACTTACGTTCTTTATGCAAGAGAAGAAAGCACTACCTTTTAAATAACCTACTACTGACTATCATGCTCTAAGCCTGAGTGAGAATTTTCAAACAATATTTTATAGCACTCTGTCACGCAGTGCAACCTAAAAGTTTGCTGTTATCTGTTGTGAAGGGCACACATATACACCACTCACCCCTTAAAACATAAGGAAGTGATGATAAGGGACACACTGGAGCCCTCCCCATGAATTTAAAAAGGGGCCACAGTAAATACTGAACATGTGCACCCTTCCAAAAATGTGCAGCATAAATGTTTCACTCTGACATCTATAGCCAAGAGCAACACGTTGCACCTCCACCAGCTGAAACTGAAGAAAGGCTTACCACAACTTTACATGCAACAGGGATGATTCATCAGTGTTGCAACAGGTGTACCAAACACTCAATGGTCTTGTAAACCTATGACACCAATTACCTTCCAAGTCAGCAGCACAGTCCTGTTTCCTGGTGAAGGAGAATCAATGATTTTTCTCCACAAAGCTGGCCCCTTAGAAGGTTCTGAGGAAAAACAAATATTTCTGTAACCAAGAGGCAGTTGTTTCATCTCAGCCCACTGTCCTTTTCCTTTCAAGCATATCTACTTTCTGTAACATAAACAAACTTCATGCCTCCACATTTCCACAGTTAGACTATTCCAGCTTCCGATCAGTTATAAAGCCAGACAGATCTTTTTAAGTGGGCTTTATCTTTCTTTATTCCAGAACGGCTTTATACAACACACTGGCTTTTAGATAAAAACATTAAAGATGTTAAAATACCCAGGAACAGAATATTATTCCTGAATTTAAAAGAAAAACGAACACGTTTTAAAATAGTAACAATCAAAATAGCATAAATTAAAGAACACAAATTCGACAAGACTTGCTTCTTTATTTATACTAATGCTACATTAATGTAAATTGTTCAAATGTTAAATTAAAGCAGAAATCTATTTGATAACAGCCGGAGTGGTGCGAATTTCATTCCCTGATAGGACTATGTAATAATCATTTGAATGGTCAAGGAATGTTACAAGAAAGGGAGTTATCAGGAGAGCTCTTAAACTACCACAGAATTTGTATGAAAAGAAAATGTGTTCGAGACCTGAGGCCCCTATGGATAGATCCTTCGGCCATATTTAACATCTATCTGGGTCCTCTTGCCCAGCTATCGTGGAGTTTTGGACTGGGGTGTTCTCATGATCTGTGCAGGACTGGGAGCAAGGCCTTGTGCGGCCTGGTCCCAGGAAAGACCAGTATGGGAGTGGAAAGTAGACAGCTACAATCCCCATAATGCTTAGAGAGGGTTATAGCCAATCAGTTTCCAGAGATTCTGTGAGGAGATTCTGACTTAAGCTGTAAAGTGTGAAAAACGGTGTTCTTTCTCTCAGAGCTAAACTGAAGGGGACTGTGTTCTTTTGTTTCTCATCTGCGGTCTGGTCTCACAGAGGGGACAGGCTGGTCTGGTGAGAGAAAGATCCCTCACTTGGCTGAGAGTGAGTACAGGTAGTGCAGCCTGGCAGGCTGTGGGCCTGGAAGTAGTAACCAGTTAAGCAAACTAGGTAGTCGCATTAGGTTTGTGTTTATTTTGCTTTTTAAACACTGTTATATCTTTTAAAGCTCCTTGTCTTGTTTTCTTTGCCCCAGTACTGTGTTAATAAACCATTTTGTTTAATTGTTATCTGCCTGGTCATCACGCCTATGTTCTCAGCTTAAAAAGGGGCACTTTTGGATGGGCCTGGGAGGGTACTCTGGGCCTTCTCAGGGGACCTGAAGTCCAGAGTGGTGGCGGCGGAAGGTGGAGACCCCCTGGGGTCATGACAGGTGTCATCAATATGATGATCCCAGCTATTTCTGTTGATGGGCAGCCTACCAAGGGTTTGGAGGCTATGGCTGGAAGGTTAAAGCAGAGCCAGCTGAAACTAAATCTGGGTAATACGGAGGTTCTCTGGCTGGGTTGGGGGAGCCATAATCAGGCAGTCAACTCCCGGCTCTTGATGGGGTGACCCTATCACCAGCTCCAACAGTCAAGAGTCCGGGCATGATTCTGGATGCCACCTTGTCTATGGAGGCCCAGGTCATGAAGGTTGCTAAGCTGGCATTTCTCCAACTGCACCAGGTTAGGAAACTGGCTCCCTACCTGTCTCACCCTGACCTAGACACAGTAATCTATGCAATGGTAATCTCCAGGATAATTACTGTAATTCACTCTATGCTGGCCTGACCCGGAAGCTCCAACTGATCTAGAATGCAGCCATGCAGGTCCTTATGGGGACCCCTCGGATGGCACACATTCATCTAGTGGTGTGCAAGCTGCACTGGCTCCCAGTGGAGCACCAGATCCAGTTCAAGGTCTCTTGGTTTTGACCTTTAAGGCCATTAGTGGTCAGGGACCTACATATCTTCGGGACTGCCTCTCCCAATATACCCCTGGAAGAGCATTACACCCTAGTAAATAAGAACCTCCTGGTGGTCCCCGGCTGTCCTCAACTAGGGCCAGGGTCGCGTGATGGAACTGTCTGCCTGAGAACACCCGTGCCCTACAGGATCCACTACCTTTCCATAGGGCTTGCAAGGCAGATGTGTTCCACCAGGCATTTGGTTGAGGACAGCAATGGTCTGGCACGTTCACACTCCTACCTTCCCCTTTTTCTCCATATCTCCCCCCCCCCCATCCAGGGGACAGATGAATACTGAAATTATCCATCATCTTGGACATAGTTTTTCCAATGAATAGTTTCAATATATCTTAATGTTGTTTTAATTTGTCTTACATATTGCATTTGCCTTTGATGTAAGCCGCCCAGAGCCCTGTTTCAGGGAAGAGTGGCTTAGCAAACTGAAATAAATATACATCTGAAATAGATACCGCATTAGGTCAAGGAGAAAAAGTGGTGATATGAGGGAACAGTACAAAGGTGTACACACCTACTGTCAATGTAAGATGTTGAGGGCATAAAGGCTAAATGTAACACAGATCAAATTTGTCTGGCATCTGTTATCCAATATTCCCAATCAAGTAATTCAAACTGGGTTTTTTTAAAAATCAAAGTACAAACTCTACTAACCCCTAATAGTAAAATCTGGTTTTGCTCCTATGGAGCTCCTATGGAGCAAAAACCTAATTCTATAATTTTGGAGTCCAACAGCTGGCTCCAAGCATTAACAAAAGAATCAGAATGCAATCAGAGTAAAAGGGGAAGGAGAGATTCTGAGAGCTGTAAAATGAGTCTAAATTTTACGGCAGCAGGCAGAGGTTGCAAACTCTTCCATACCGGCTTCTAGTGAAAGAACTGATCAGAGGTCATTTCGGGGGGGAACGCGGGGGAACGCAGTTCCCCCGGGTGAGGTGCAGGGGGGCGGGGCACATGACGAAGCCCCGCCCCCCGCCCCGCTTCCAGCCCTCATTCAGCAGGAGGGAGAGGGGGAGGTGTACTTCCCCCCCCCCCCGCCTCTCCCCACCCCTGCCTGCCTGGGGCCAGGGAGGGCCTTGGCGGGGCTTCCTCGCACTCCCGCTGGCCTTGCAGGTCCACCGCCGGGCCCCTGATGTCAGGGGGTGTGGCATATGCTAATGAGTTATGCTAATGAGTTCCCCTAGCTCTTTTTCTACGAAATGACCCCTGGAACTGATGATGCCACATTTATCAGTCTCTCAATGAAAATGCCCATCTGTGTGGGGAAACCCATGTGGGGAATTTGCTTGTGGGTGATGACCACAGCAAAATTGCTCAGATTATGCCCTGGCTCGCTTTAGGGCGCACTAGGGGGGAGTCGCTCTTTCGGCCGAGAGGTCGGTGAGGCTCCCGCCATGCCCTGCCCCAATGGACCTTTGCTGCGTGAGCGACCCCGAACGGGGTTTAGCGGAGCCACCAGACGTCACCGAGTGATAAAGCGACCATCCGCAAAAATGGAAAAGAAAAAGAAAAGATCGGCTTAACTGTGAGTTGTCAAAATGCAGAGAAAAAGAACTGAAAATTGTTTCCCCCCCCCCTCCCAAGATGTCGGAGCTGGGCAAAAGCGAGCGGAGAAGGAGGGAGGGACTTCCGTCTGGGCGTTGGTTTGTGTGCAAGAGCCGGCTGTTGAATGTTTGGACTGTTTATGGCTGTGAATCCGACGGGAGTTTTGCAAAAAAGATAAGTTGGAATTGTGACAGCGAGAAGTGCCTGATAAGCGCTTATAAGTCAACAATTGCGAGGAGGACCCATAGAGAGTCTGGGAGCGAATATAAAAGCGAAAATGAAATTGATACCATTCTCGAAAATGGGGACCTCCGGGGCATGAAAGGAAGAGGATTTATAGTACATGAACTGAGCGTATTAACAACAACCCGAAGGAGGATCTAACAAGCCGGAAGGAGAAGACAACAGAGGAAGCTCCTCCACGTCAGCGATAGTAAAAGTACCCAGCACGCAAAGAAGCGGTTCTGAATGTGCACAGAAGAGACCCTTTTTATTAACAGAATCTCAAAGGAACATTACTAACATACTAACAGAGAATACATGTAACAGGACTAAGAAAAGAAGTTTGGCAACACACAGAAGAAGCCCAAGAAGATTAATTGGACATTACTAACAGTTTAATTTACCAGTTTATATATCACTCAGCTTTCTCTTTCTCCCACTGTCTACCCCTTCCTTTTTTTCTTTTAAGCGAAATACCTCCCCTTTTTAGGGGAGCCAATAAAACCTTTATTAAAAAAAAAAAGATTATGCCCTGGCTGCCTCTATAGGTATTACTACACGGCTCCATAGTTTTGTTCAGAACTTTTTGTAGTAACTCCCATAAGTATCCAAACTGGAATAATTATTCCATCGACCCCATTTCATGCTCTTCTCACTCGAAAGGATGGGCTGTTCAAGCCCTTTCTTTGGTCAGGTCGAAATATACTTGCTTGGCATATTTGCAGCCTGTGACAAAGAGTAGACAGATATTTAGTACTACTTACTATCTTCAGCTGTGACCCCAACTGCTTCTTTACTCCAGTCACTCCAATGAGATCGACAGTTGTCACTCAGCATCCCACTCTCCTTCATAACTGCCCAGTTTTTAACCTTAGAACGCAGCTGACACACATACTTGGTATGCGGCTTCAAATCCTGAAGAATGAAGGAAGTTCTCCGTGTTGCCGTGTCTTCAGGAGGAACCTGTCAAAAGACAACTGGTTAATTTAAAAGTATGAAGGCCTTGGTTTTATAGGAGTAGAATTATAGGAGCAAAATTACAAATATCCCAATCTGGGGAATGGGAAGAAAGGAAAGAGATGCAAGCTGCTGCACCCTATGCTACCTAAGCACATATATCTTATCATCTTAAAGGTGACCAGAGGAAGGCATGCAGCAATCTATGTGCAAAAAACAGTTCTGTATGTTCCTCTCATGAACTCAGCAGCGCTCTACATGTACCAAAGGAACGGAGCAAGTGATAAGGAAATGGCGTTAATTGGGGAAAAGGAAGAAGACTCAGCAGGAGAAACAATATTAATTAACTTAGAAAACAGTGAACTTGGATATATAACCTTGGACCAATTCAAAGAAATTCTGTTTAACGAAGTGCGGCAGGCAGCTGAAGCTAAATAAAGACCTAGAATTGGAAACCAAACAGAAACCAGACCTGGAAGAGAAGGAGGAGCCCCTACAATGTCAGTGTTCTGTGATTTCAGAGAAAGAGAAAAAAGCACAAGGCTCATTTTGCATGGAGACAGAAAAGAAATGCTCCCAGATAAAAAGTCGAGTAAAGCATTTTGCAAAGTGAGCCAAGACAGTAGGATTTACAGAAGGGAATGCCCAAAAGCAACTTAATGCAGATATGAAGAAGTGGAGTAAAAAGAAAATGAAAAAAATTCCAAAGAAAAGGACTAAGGACTGCAAAGCACATGTGCCAGATCTGATTAAACAGGAAAAACAAGATGGAGTAGATATATATGAGTATAAAGAGGAGAAGCGCCAAGAAATGATGATAGAGAAGAGGGCGCTTCAGGAAACAGGGTTGCCATCTGTATTATGTGGTAGCATAATTCTTTTTCTTTTTTATAAACCAAATGAAATGCGGATGGTGTTAAAGGACGGAAATGAATATATTGGACTAAGGCATCTTGATTTATTTTGGAATGATAATAAGAACTTTAGACCTCTGTGCAGTTTAATGGTTAAGTACTTTTGGGCTATCTTCAAAGCTTATTTCTGTCACTCTGGGAAACTTGTCAACCTCGTTAACTGGAGCAGGATAGGTAAAAGGGCACCAATTAAGAAACGAGAAGACTCCCCCCCCTCTTTGTGTGTGGTGGTTGCTGGTGTGGCTGGTCTAATTACCCTCCCCCCAGTTTGTATCTGTCTGATAGTGTGGGTTGATGGAGTATAAACTCTATTTTGTATGTGTTGGAAACGGGCTAATCTGCATAGGAAATGAGAATTGCTTTGAAGTGTACCTGAAATGTTTAGAAAACTCTCAGATGCAAATTCCCTTGGGCTATGGGTTGAGCAGAGTGGAGAAAGACTCCTTTCATACAGAGGGCAGTTTCAGGGTGTGTAATTTGCTTAGCCTCCGAACTCCATATGATTTACATTATTCAGATTTTTAAGGCCTTTCACCCTTGATCTTCTATTAGGAAGTCCCTTAAAGCAATACTTTGCAAACAGAAATGTTATATGCCACATGAAACCACCCCATGAATGCAGGCTGTCCGAACTTAGGCTACTTAGGCTATTAAAACACCCTGTTTCCCAGTGATGTATGCTAATGTAAGGGGAAAATGTTTTAGTGTTTGTATTTTGTACACAATAGTTCAGCGCAGTTTGCCTGTGCCTGTTTTATCTAGGAAGCTGTTATTTAAGCTCTGGTACTGGATGTCACAAGGGTGGTAGTTTATATTGCATTTGGTATTCTGGAAAAATATCAGGAGGGAAGCTGTAAGAGATGCAGTGACAAGTATCTAACAGAGTAAAGTAGTTAAATGTGTGTTTTGAGTTGTAAGAAAACATTTAAAATGTTTTTGTGGGGAGGGAAAAAGTGCTTGAGAGATCCCAAGAGAGCATCTGGGAGTAAGCAAATATACTGAGTAGGACACTTGGAATATGGAAGCTATATAAAAAGTAAATTCAATAAAGCACTCATTGTGTAGATCTCGGTGGTCTCCGGATAATTAATGATGCCCTTACATTTGGTTCTAAGGCCAGTGATGAGAAACTGGTCACTTGTTCGTGTTTTTTAATACATCATCTTTTTTGTTCGCTTTGTCTAACCACGTACATTAGTTTGAATCACTGGTGCATGTTTACAGCTAGTAGTTCCAACCCACACATGGAGATTTTGGGGGTGGAGCCTGAGTGGTGGGTTTAGATTCAGAGGAATTAGCTGTGTTAGTCTGTTGCTGCAAAATAGTCCAAGAGTTCAAATAGCACCTTTAAGACTAACAAATAGCACCTTTAAGACTAACCTTTAAGACTAAGACAAACTGAGTGGTGGGTGTGGCCTCATGACACACTTCCGGTGATGGCAGGGGGTGTGGCCTTATGACACACTTCCGGTGATGTCAGGGTGTGTGGCATATGCTAATGAGTCATGGTAATGAGTTCCCCTAGCTCTTTTTCTATGAAACGATCCCTGCCAAGAAGAAAGAGGGTCTCCAGGCTGCTGAACTACTACTGTAAATGTTTCTTTAACAATTTTCAGCATAAAAATATGTGCTGACTTTTCCCAGCATTTTTTAAACTCCAAATATATCTTCCTGTTTAACTTCAAGCAATCCCCCCACAGGTGCTTTATTTTCATAGAAGGTGACCTGTGTGGGTAATTGTTTTGTGCCTCTGGTCCAGAGTTGCCAACTACCTGGAGGAAAAAGTCCTCTCCCCCCCACAGAAGCTTAATGGGGTGTTATTTAGCAGGTGATGCTTTATTTCTTTCCCTGCTCAGGAAAAGCTTCCCTTGCCTATTTCCACGCAAGGAGCCTCTGCTGAAGGGGCAGGGCCTTTCCCCCTTCAGGTTGTTGGCAGCTCTATTTGGTTCACCTCCCTCTGTTGACATGAATCGGCTCTACCTGTGGCTAGGAAACAAGCATATGCATTAGTACAAGGAGGGCTGCCAGCTCTGGTGGGTTGGGACCAGTGTTCCCTCTAAGCTGAGTTAGTGTGAGCTAGCTCACAGTTTTTTAGCCTCCAGCTCACACATTTTTGTCTTAACTCAGGAAGGATGGCTCCAGAGCAAACTAAGTTATGCAATAGCCAAATTGCTTGCTCACAACTTTAATGCCAGTAGCTCACAAAGTAGAATTTTTGCTCACAAGACCCCACAGCTTAGAGGGAACATTGGTTGGGACATACCTCAAAGTTTGGGGGGGGGGTGAAGCCTGGGGAGGGCAGAGTCTGAGGTGGGAGAGGAGCCTCAGTGGGGTACAATGCCATTGAGTCCACCCTCCAAAGCAGCCATTTTCTGCAGGGAAACTGATTTTGGTCACCTGGAGATCAATTGTTATAGCAGGAGATCTCCAGGTGCCACCTGGAGATTGGCAAGCCTAACTGCAACACATGCATATTTGAATCAGGACATAAGAAAACACCACAATGGACCCATAGAGCCTCCTCTTAAGCCCCTGCCCCCAAGGTCAAGTGACACACACACATACACACACAGAGTGACCGCCCCTCTAACTAGTCCATTAATATGACATTGGCAAGGGAAATGAGTATGGCAGAAGGTGCCCAGAGACTGAGCTTCAAAAAGTGTGGGGTGGGAATAATCATACTCGATAAGATATAGCTTTCTCAATTACTGAGATTTACATAACAAGCATTATACTTGGTCTTGGAAGAAAGCATCACAGAAAAGCATTAACTTATAACTGATGTAGGGTTACCTCTAGCCAGTCCAAACTATCAATGACTTTGTACCGAATGTTATATTCCAAATCCAAATCTGTATCAAACCGATTTTCCCATGAGAGTTTCAGGACTGTGGGAAGTTCACTGATGTTGACTGAAACCTTGTGTGGAGGAAGAAGTTTCACTAGGGGAAAAATACATATATATATATAAATCAGCCACATACTGTTCTAATTTGATATTAATACAAATTGTAATACTCCGGTGTACAGGTATGTAGGCATTTAGCAATGGAAAAGCTATGCCCCAGGAAAAATCACTACAAAGCGCAACTCCATGGACTGAAGGGAATGCTGCAACAGGATTTTCTGTTGGGCTTCTACTTATCCATGATAAAAAGACTACTGTAAATCATTTCAAGCCCAATATTTATGTTGTTACTGCAGCATGGCTTGGATCCAACCCTAGAATTGGATCTACTCCCTAGAATTCCCTTTTGACTTCCATAAAAGCAATTCCAGGAGCTGTACATGGCATGGCAATTATGGGAACTGCATTGATAGAGAAACCAGCCCTCCTACCTCTTGCATCACTCCTCAATGGAGGTTTCTGACCCCCATGGCTCTTTGCCTACATAGGTTTCATGACTCCAAGAAATCTTTCTGTGGACTGAAAGGGACTACCAGGGGAGGAAAATATGGGGAAAGTCTGCTACCTTCTGCTGATGGCTGGCTGGCTTTAAGTCATTGTCTGCGAAACAATTATATTCAAGGGGAAAACTATGACAGACAGTTTTCCCTGTTTTAAATTCATGGCATATCTTCACCCTTTATTATCTCTACTCCCATCAAGGTAGTGATAATATTAGATTAGACTACCCCAAGGGATTCATGACTTGAGTGCACATGTGCTCACATGGCTGCAAAGTGTCATACCCTGATTTTGGTCCCACTCAAGACATTGTCAAAGACTGCCCCTTTTTTATTGAAAAGGAGAAGGGGTTTGCAGCTGTCCTGAGCTCCTTTGTTTTGGGGGATAACAGAGCAGTCATCCTTCAGCTATACAAATACGATATATATATATATATATTTAAAAAAGAATCCACCACTTTGGCTCTTAACCCAAGTTTGGTATCCAGCAAGGGCTGTGGCCAACAGGACAACCACATCCTATATATTAGGGTTTTTTTTATGTTTCTGCAGCCTATAATACTATTTACAATAAGATACTACTGGCATGGCTATGGGACTTGGGAAACATTTGGGCATCTATCCTCAAGTGCACCCTCTGCTTCAGAGTGGAGATACGCCAGAGGTAGTGGTCCCTGCATCTTCTTTTGTCATCGACATAATGCCTTTTCTCAAAGTGTTTGCACGTACCAGCACAAAAGCATTCACAAACGTTATCGAATTTCCCCCCCCATTATACTTAGAATGAAGGGATGTGTAATTACCACATGTTGAAGGATCAAAAGTAATGTGTTCAGATTCAGCTTTCCCAAGGTCATTCTCAGCTTCCACCCACACTTCGGTGGTGACGAAAAATGAAATACCATCTTCTATGGTGCAAGTGCTATTCATGCCGCTGGGGATGCAGTCATCAAAAATCTCATCGACCCTAAATTTGGAGAGAAGTGGTAAGCTTTAGTACATACACACAAGTACAGTTATCCCGAATATCCTAGATGTATTTACTCAGTCCTGAATAGTTAAGTAGGACATTCTCTAGTTAAGTGCTTCAGTTCCACAGTATTACCCAGAGCTTTACCTGAGATATGGCTGGCCCAGAAGAAAATAAAATATTTTTATCATACAGATTTAAAAAAATGATATACAATACACTGAACATTAGTAAGGAGGGTGAAGAATGACATGAATCGATTACCCAAAAATTAAGATATTTACTGCTTTTACACAATGCCTAACATATAAATAGGCTCAACATTTCCCATTTCATGTTTTACAGTTATAACTAAAATTAAGTATAAAATGTTTGCTATTAGGGATGTAAAGTGAACTTCTTTTTATTAGCCTATTATATTCACCTCTTATTGTTCTTGCAAAACATAGACACAGCTATTCAGTTACTACATTACCCATTTCCCCCCTCCCTTCAGGTCTTAGTTTTAAATCCCTCTAAAACAAAAGTTCTGCTGACTGATAAGGCAGGAGGTGGTATTTTGCACCTCATCCATAGCATAGCCCATGATGTACTTGCTATGAATCCACATGAGTCCTGCAACCCCACATGAGTCCTCCAGCATAGGAATACCTATTCAAGACCATCTAATGCAAGTCAGTTATCCAATTAATGTGTTTCTAACACCTGAGTGAAAAAGCCAGTTTCACAGTCAGACCAGAATTTAGTTCAAGTCCCAAGTCAGGGACTTGAGCTAAGAAAAGGAAATTAGAGTGGACTCTGCTTTCAGAGTAAGGAAGAAAAAAAAGTGCTGATGGCCCAAAAATAAAGATGGAGGTTGCTCCATACCACCAAACTGAAATGACAAAGTGTGCATGATCTTCTAGAATTCCAGCTGTGTATGATGGCAAGATGAATAAAAGCATGTGCTTCTGTGAGTTCTTGTGTCCCGCTGCCTTTATCTCCCCCAGGCAAAAGCTGGAGATGCAGTTATACTTGATAAGACTTAACTGGCAGGGGTGTGAAAAGAAAGCAGGGAAGCAGCCAGAGAAGCAGAGGGCACGTTCCAAGATAGTGCCAGTGAAAGCCAATGACAGCAGGAGTGGGAAGGTTTTTCTGTGATTCTGTAGTTGTGATATTGTACCTAGGGAGCTGGAATCCAGCTGGGGTTCTGAATTTGGATATCATGGTAAACCGCATTTAGGAGAAACTGCAGTCTACAAGCTGTGAAACATGGTTTGGAATCCCAGTATCTGGTCCTCCAGCAAATGAAGCAGTGGGGATTGGCATCATACTGACAACACAAGAAACTGAGGTTTTATCGTTATAGCTGAACGTAGTCAGCATTTCCAACATGCTTATCAAAAATGCTGAGTTAAATAATGTTAGCATGTACTGTATATATAGCTAGCCAACTACCCAAAAAAACACAACTAGATCAAAGTATAGTAATTCTCCAGAAGAAATTATTTTTTAAAATGTAAAACAAAATTTACCATCGATGTTTTAAAGAATACTTGGTGTTCAGGAAAGTATTCCTTCCAGGTTCCCAGGTACACAGCAGACTGTATTTGTCCTTTTCTATTTGATTCATTAAGCAAGTCAAATTCTTAGGCTTTTCTGGGGGTACTGCAGTAGGGGAGGGGAAGGATAAAATAAGAAATTTAATAGTAGGCATATGCAAAGGAAAACAGTAATGAACTTCCTGGCTCTGATGCAATTAATACCTTATCCACAAAAGCTGGGGTACTTGTGCTGAAGATTCCTATTTCTCTGTTTGGCACTGCAAGTCTGCCAAGTCACCATTACAAACAGTACTATTCTTAAAATCATGAAGCACGGCACATTTAAAATTAATAAAACTACTAAAAATACCATGGATGCCATCTGATTAAAGTCCATTTAACAGATCACTCAAACACAACTCCTACCAGATTTCAACCCTCTCACTGTGGAACAGGCCTCGCTACAGTAATTTGCATGAGATAAAGTAGGAAAGTACACCAGATCCTCCAGAGTTCCCTTCCCCCAGATCAGCACAGTACAGGGAAAACTGTGCCAATCTTTAAGAACCCAGATTCTGTTGGATCTATCTATTTAAACCAGCTGTGGTTAACACCAACACAGGGGTACAGATACATGGTAGTGAAGGTGGTAATGGACAAATCTGAACAATGTATAGATTATACTGGTATAACAGTGTGTGTGGGCTGTGCCTTCTCATGTATTATGCAGATGATCCCTGTTACACTTGAACAATGTTTTGGTCATCACATTGTGGGTCTCACTGAAATTAACAGGAATATTGTTGTTGTTCAGTCGCACAGTCGAGTCCGACTCTTCGCGACCCCATGGACAAGATAAATAAAACTAATTCCATACATACGGCAGTTTTAGTTGTTTTATCACTGAGTAATGAAAGTCATGCAACAAATAATTACAATCAACATAGGTTCAGCAAAACATTTAAATCCTGAGTTCCTTATCATTTCAGAACCAGTATTCACTTTGAAAAGCAAAGGCAATTTGTTTAAGGGTCCAATGGACTGATGCATATTAATTTCAAGACACAAATTATTCAAGTCTAAACCTGGTTCTTTGTTATTTAATTCACAGGGAAAAAAACTTGTAATGATAACTCAGTAAGATTTAGCTGTGTAGATTCAGTAAACTACAGTGAATTTTTTCCAATTTCACTTAGCAGCTCATTGCCCCTATTATGCAGTACACCTGAAGTTACAAACTAGTCACAAAATATTGGGGCTAAGACTTTATGAAATGCAGTTTAAAATCTGGGTACCAGAAAATGCCGAGGTGAAGAAAAACACAGGGCTTTAAGGGCCAAACTACATGTTCCATGTCATTATGCGATGTCTCTCCTAGTCGCTGTGGGAAAAGCTTTCCATACCCTCATGCCCTCCCCTTGGGCAGACAATTAAGTGATTTTAAGATGACAAATAATTGATAAGGAAAGAGCTAACCAGCGTCTTCTCCCCTCCCCTATTGATCATCCACTCAAGCTGTAGTTGCTTTGCATGTTAAGCTTAGTCTTAAGGGTTCTGTGAATTTTTCAAACAGTGGTCTTCAGCTTTTTCAGACCTGGGACCTAATTTTTGCTCTAAGCACACAGTATGGAACCCAGCTCTAATGTTATGTACTCTAGATGTGTACAGGGGCACTGTTGGTGGTGCCACTTGCCTTAGAAGAGGACCAATGCTGTAGAAACCCAGTAGAATCATGACATGCGTACATTATAGAAAGCAAAATATCCTTTTTACAAAACATTAAACTTTGAAAGAAAAGGTCATTGGTTCTGTTTTATTATTACATCTCTTGATGTCACAGAATAATTTGAAACACTGTTTCGTTTATCTATTTTGCATTCTCTTGAGTATCTTTGCAAAAACAATGACCACCCTTTTTTATTTTCATCTTCCAGTTTTATGCTGAAAAATGTCTAACACCCTTTAGGAGTGTTATACAGAAAGTAAATAAGTTACCACTATCTAGGCAGACAGTAAAATTTCATGCAGGGTTTTTTCAGGGAACACAACCGAAAGTTTAAGGAAACCTACTTACAGCCCAACTGAACATGAATTCCATAGATATTCTGCTCAATGTTTCCTTCTACTAAGATGTTACACGTCAGAGGAGAAACCAATGTAGAGGTGTCGTTAAACGTTACTTGAGAAGCTGTGCGGTTTATTATGCTATACTGTTCCTTAGGAACCACCTTGTTTTTAGTCTTCCAGATTATCTGACTAGCATGAACACTGCCATACGTGTTCTGACAACTGTCATTGAGAATGCATATTGCTGTGAAATCGGAGCCAATTGGTACTACTGGAGACTCCGGGGTGATCTGGCCACACAATTGCACAAGTCCATCTGAAACAAAGAAAACTGATTAGCTTTGTTATTATATTTTGTAACTGCATCTTGTTATTGGTTTAAGTAAACTGTAACAATATAATTACTGAACACAGCAAATGCTACTAAAAGCAACTAGAAATGTTAGGAAAAAATAATGTGTCTTGTATTTGACAAAACTGCATCTAGAAATTTTAGAAATGAGAACTGCAATGTATATGTTTCAAAGGTTGCTATAGCCCAAAATATACAAAATGCCAGACACATGCCGGGTCATTGGTGCGTTGTCCATACACTGGGAGAGCTCACCTTAAACAGAGCTTGTTCGAGGGGTAACAAGGAGCTTTCAATTTCCCTCCTGCCCTGCCTTCAACAACAGATAAGGTGGTCCCCCCTGCTTCTGCTGGTTCCTTGTGCCCTCCCCCCGCACTACCAAACGAATGAGTGCTGTTTAAGGTGTGTTGCCCCAATTTATGCCTGACCACGAGTCAGAAAGTGCACCCATGATCCCACATGTGTCTGATGTATCATGTATTTGCAGCTGAATTGAAAGGGAACAAGCACCAGTAGAGTGAAAAGGCTGCTGGGAGCATATTACATTTCCTGTTAATACTAGTGTGAGAGATAACTCAGTATCTCCCTTATAAATAAAAGCCGAATGGTGGTGGCACTTCTCTAGAACAAAATCAGTTCGCTCTCTGATCTGTCATTCAGAGGGTCTCCCTATCCACTGGCTGCTTTGCCTGAGTCCTGCCTCCAACATTCTAAACATTTTGCTGTTCCTTTCCCCCCCATAGCCAATCAGAACACAGAGGTTATTTGCATATGCAGCCTCACTAGCCTTTGCCTCGGAACACAGAGGTCGTTTGCATATGCGACTTGATTGGCTTTTGCCTCTAACATTCTAAACAGTTTTCTGAGATAGAATGTGTCCAATCTCCAGGTGAGGGCTGGAGACCACTCAGAATTACAACTGCTTTCCAGATGGCAAAGATCAGTTCCCCTGGAGAAAATGGTGGGCTCTGTATCCTTATATGCTGCTGAGGTGGCCCCCATATGACAGCCAATGTGACATAGCAGTCAGGGCTTCAGAGCACGGGAGAGGCTGCAGGTGTGTGGGGGGTGGAAAGCTGAAGAGTGAGGGGGAAATAAAGGTAGGTTGATGGTTGGCTGGGAAGGAGATAGGGTTGCCAACTCCAGGTGGGAAATTCCTGGAGAGGTGAGGGATGGAGCCTGGAGAGGGTGAGGTTTCAGGAGGTGTGGGACCTCGAACAGGTACAAAGCCATAGACTCCACCCTCCAAACCAACTGTTCTTTTCTGGGGAACCATCGTTGCCAATCTCCAGGTGAGGGCTAGAGATCACTCAAAATTACAACTGTTCTTTAGGTAGCAGAGATCAGTTCCTCTAGAGAAAATGGTGGGCTCAGTGTCATTATACCCTGCCGAGGTCGCCACTGAGTGTCCACGGCCGGGGCACCCGCCCAGAGCCTCTTTGTAGAGGTCGTTGTATTTATTTCCACAACGGGCCTTTTCCCTAGTATTTATATAAACAAAATTAAACTGGAATCTGACCAAAAGTTTCTAAACGAGAATACCAGGGAAGAATATGAAGACAAAGCCATAGAATTAGCAATCCAAATCCCATGCAACAGTATTCCTTAAATGTTCTTAGAATGAGAGCTAAAACCTAACATGACTCATATTCTATAGCATTCACACAATTAACATATGCACACATAGTGCAGTCATAATTCTGATTAATTATTCTTACACTTACCTGCAAAAGAGTAAATATTCAGGAGAGTCCATACAGCTTGTATTGACCAACTGCATTTTGTGACCATCTTGAATCAAGTCACTGTAAAAATAAATATTTTATGAAGTTTCTCTTTAGCCATTTTATTCCTCCCACCAGGCAGGTTGTCCCCCCCCCACCCAGTTTATTAAGCATGAATAATAAGGTTTTGGAAAGAAACTAAAATGCAGATAAAGTTAGGCAAAGGAAATGAAATATTCTATTTGCATAAAGAGACTGGCATAACCAATGCATAAACTAAAACCAGAAGCAATAAGCAGGGCTAAATGCAGGCTTTGGAACACTATGAAAACATTGGGTGGTGGGGAAGCAGAGAGGGCTGGCCAGAAGTACAGCGGGGACTGCCTGTGGTGACTGAGCTGCTTGTGGCTTGGCTCCACAAAGCACCTAACTAACCCAGCCACCTCTGGCATAAAGTTTTTGCTAGTGAGTGCCAAAGAAAAATCCAAGGCATTATAAATCATCCTCCCTTCCAAGGAAAAGGTGACCTACCATAATTACAACAACCTTTCCCTGATGGGTATATATAAGCAAGAAGATGAGCAATATCATTCCAGAGATGTAATGGATTTTTATTTATTTTCTACCCTGTCCCAGAAGCTCAGAGCACCTTACCCATTTCACAAGAAAAAAAACACACCTAAAGAGAATTTTTTTTATTAGTAGTACTGATGTCAGCCCCAAAATACAGTTATTTTCCCAGCAACTTAGAGAACAGTTAGCCTTGTAGCTGGGAAGGACATAAGCTCCCAGAAACTGCCACTCCTCTGGCCAATGGTGTGGCCCTTCTCCTTTTCAATACTAGTTTTCTTGCTAGGGCACACTGGATCTCAGAGCTGGCCTGACCATATAGATGACTTAGGAGGTCAACTGAAGTTTCTCCTGTGGCTCATAACTGCTCAACTCTTTCCATTAGTAACAGATGACCTTAAAAGGGGAAGATTCTCAAAGTGTATGCCAAGCAGCAGTAACCTTGCCCACCAATGCCTTCAAGATTTTTTGCTTAAAATAATGAACTTAACCTTCAACATGCTTAAGTAATATTGTTTTCAAAAAAAGCAACCCCACAATCATTCAAGGGAGTAAGCAACTGAGATGGAAAGTGGGTTTTTCAATATTACTACTCTGCTTCTCATTTGAAAGACAAAGTCTGAGACTATGACCGTGAAGTATGATCATGAACTTAAGTGATCATGAAGTTATCTACATATTAGACTTTCTGTATGGGGGAATATTGAAATGGTGTAAGAGGAGCAAATGAAAGAGACTAACATACTGTGT